ATGCGTTCTCTACTTTACTTTGGAAGTTTTCTGTTACACTGTTACAGCTGTAGAGCAGTAGGTTGGGGGAGGGATTGAGACAGATAGGGGGACTAAGTAAATAAGCAGATGGCACCATGCCTTGCTGCGCTTGTTGCGTCATTTATTGCCAGTACATTGGAATATGATGTAGTAAAATAGACCATGATTAAAGTTAATAAATTCGCAACTGTCTATATTATTGAGTAATACTGTCTAGAAACTGTAGCCAGTTTATACCAGATTTATTGTAAATCACAATGAATCAAAACTTTCAGTTTATAGTATCGATGGAGTATTGTAAGATTTTCAAAATTTTTGAATAGACTGAAAAAAATTGCTTCAAATGTACCCTAACTCTTCACTAACATAATTTGTTGTCGTGATTTTTTTAGGAAATAAAATATACTTTTTTTGATTTAATTTTGATGAAATACTAAAAAAAAATAACACATAGTGACTTGTTTGACAAGTAAGTATTATGATAGCCTTAAATCTGTACCACACTATTTTTTAGTACCAGTATTTGTTTTTTATTACACTTAACAAACAAATAAATAAAATTCTTTATTTTTACTTGATTTAGAATTTGAGATTTTCTCTAGAATAAGTTTACTTTAACATTATTGCTTACTTAATAAAATGTTATTTCTTAAGCACATTTCTTAAAACCTTTGCTAGAGCGTACGCATACTCATACAGTTGACTTGGAGAAACTACAATAGTTACATTATCCTATCATTTTTCTGGTACTTGCAATGTATTTGTAATATGCTGAATCTGAAAACAATGGAAGCTATCTGAATAACTCTATCAAGTCGCGTGGGAGCGCTACAAGATAAGTTTGCGAAAGCAGACGAAGCCTCGGCAGCTGCACTACTATTTACCTTAGATTTGCATACTTGAATTTTTTAATTTATAAAAATAAGTATTTTTGCTGGTATGCCTAATGTTTTTTCGTTTAATTTAGTCTCTTCTATCCAACTCCTTAGCTTTACCAAAAAATATAGGTCAAAAGGTTGTTATAACAACGAAAACGAGAAACGTGTGTCTCAAAATGCTTAAATTTAGATTAAGATTTTTTCAGTTTGCAGTCTCAGCCTGAAAATGTTTTTACCATGAAATTGGCTGTAAGTCAAATTTTTTCTGTGAATAATTGAGATAGGCGTGTTCTTAAAATTAAGCAGAGCTACCAACAATGTAATATTGGCTACAGGTATTTCCTAATTTCACAGTAGATAGCACGCAGCGTTGAGAGTTCTCAGTGGCTTAGATGATAGAGCGCTTGCTTTATACCTAAAGGGCTCAGGTTCGAGACTCCACTTTATCACTTTCTCCCGGGTAACTCTAGGATGCTCTCTATATGACCTTATCACTGTGATATATAAGTTGACAACTGGTATCATAACTTTTACCGTGGCAAGCAGATTTGCAGTTTATAGTAAAAAACATCGATGCCTTAGAGAAGGGGGGAAGAGTAGATGACTCTTTGATGGTAAAATCGTTCCCGTGAATAATCGACACCAATGATGAAATACGAGATGAAATTAAATGTTGCGAATCTAAGCTGTATATGTATGCATATGTACCCACAGCCATTATTTAAACAAAGACAGACAAGACGTGGTGTTACTAAGGTAGGATACTTATTGGGAGGCAAATTTTCAATATGCATTAAAATTTTAATATCTTGAATGTATTAATATCTAATTATCTTAACCTTGAATTTCGTGCACCTTAAACGTGAACACCGTAATTTCAGTACCTTAACTAAGATTTGTAACGAATAAATTAATTATCAGCAGTAAATTAATTGTATTATTTTTTTAGTAACAGTAGTAAGTTATTACTCGTACCGTTGTTTACGGTCTTTGTAGACAAACTAACTGTAAAAAGAGTTCGATTTTTATGATAAAATATGAATTTCTCACCTTAAGCATTACATCTTCTTAAGTATCAAGTCAATTAACCAAATGAATTTAAAAAATAGCTATTTTATAGGAAAAAGAAGTATTTCACCGTTTAACTCAACTGTATCTTACAATAATTAATCAAGCCCGAATTTGGCTACATGATTTTGAGCTCTAGGAGAAAAATACGATGGCAGTTGATTGAAATATAACTTTATTTTCCATTTTTTTTGTATGTGTGTCATGAGTTAAGGACGCAATCAAGAAATTTACTGAGTTACGTATTGTGCTATAAAACAGCTACTTACCTACAATCAATCGTGTAACACAGCTGTAATATTATCCACGCACGTAATCGAATCCATGAGACAAAAAACTTTAATTAATTCCCAGAGTGCTCTGAACAACACGGTGTTAACCTAAGCCTCATTTAATTCAGCGATTTGGATAGTTGATAGTCATACATTATAATAAATGTTTTAAGTAGTAGTTAAATGAAAAATCGTTTAGTAGGAAAAATTTTTAAGTTACTTATACGTAGCTTTTACGGTTTTTGGAGGCGCTTTTGTAATAAATAATTATTCATTATTAGAAATACTTAGTTATTGAAAAACTGTAGTATAGAATGTTTGGATTCTATCAATGCGTAACAAAGATAATGATAACAGCTGGTCAAATAAATGATGAATTTGATATTTTTCATGCGTATAATTATGTACTTTATCATAAAATTTTGTTGGAAAGAGTCATTTTATTTACGTAATTAGCTTCAAGAAAAATTAATGAGAATCATACAATAACGCAGTTTAATGAAAGAAAAAAAAAGAAAAAATCGTCATAGATACAAATCCTTAAACCATATTTTATAGGAAAATTTGCTTCGTCCGATAAATTTATGAACTATTTGTTCAAATCAACCTCTGCATACATCCATACATTCAAAACATTTTTGTATGAGCAACTTTAAGTAGAAGTTCAGTAGAGATAATGTAGATCACCGTAGCTGTATGTTGTGCGCAGACTTCGTTTTTACCCAGTACTTTCAAATAAGAACGATATCTAAAGTAATTAAGTTTTTTTTAATAAACATTAAAAAAAAGATATTTTCCTAAAAAGTTATGATATTCCTATAAAAATACCTTTTCACGAAACAAAACGTTTGGGTAGTTTTGATGTGTTGGGTTAATATTTTTTAAGGAATTTCTTAAGCCTTTATACAGTGGCATAAATAGTAATCTTCCTAAAGAATCTGTAGTCTTGAAAAGTTCTGAAATCAAAGTATAAAAATGGTCAAGTTTTTTTTTGGCGCAACATACGTGTTGTATGAGACTTGTTAAATAATACAGTCTTGTACTCGAACTTGAACACAATCTAACGAAATAGTATTGACTTTTGATTGGTACTTAATGCAAACTTCACATTAAATATAATAATGCCTTGCTATGTTGAAAGTGTATGAAAATATTAGAGCGAAAGTCAACATGACTTAGTTTTATTTTGTTAAAGTGCGAGTACTAGACAGTATTAAACTACAAGTGTCGTACAAAATTTATGTTGTACCAAAAAAGAACTTGACCATTCTTACATTCTTATTTTAGAACATTTCAAGGCTACATATTCATTAGGAAGAATACTATTTATTGCCAGTGTATTAAGGCTTAAGAAATTCCTTAAAAAATATTCACTCAACACATAAAAATCACCTAACCTTTTTGTTTTATTAAAAGGTATTTTCATTGGGTTAATTATGAATTATATATTAAACTGTGTACGAATTTCTACTTAATATTAAATTTTCAATATTTTATATAATTCTTATTTTAACAATATTGCTCAATAAAACATCATCAAATTGTTCACTTATATTCTTACAGTCCGTTTTTACTTTAAAATTATTTCTTAAGATAATACATGTTTTTTTTCATTTTATAGTTCTATACGTTCGGTTCTACAGTCATTACTTGGAGTACGCAGCACTCAGGAATGAGAAAGCAGGAGGATGGATACGGTGAGATAGGGAGTGACTAACACTTCCAATTAATGGCTGTATTACATAAATCCTGACTGGGTGTTTATCCTACAAAACATCTCCTAAAGCCTTTTGGAACGAGTTTCGTATACTATTTTTCCGCCTGAGAATCCAAAATCAATTGGTGAAGGTGCTATTTTGGTGTTAGAAGGCAAAAAACTTATTTGTTTCCTGGTGATAACTACTTTCCTCTCATTCATATTCATAAGTATGAAGAAAGAGATTTATATAACTTCACGTACAAATATTACATAAATGTACACTTCTTTACATAAAACTTTTTTTTTGTGTTTGCTTCATTATTACTTTAACGTTTCTAACACCGTTAAAAATACACATATTATGCAATAGTAATACCACAAGATAACGTAAAGTTGTCTATAAAAATATGAAAATACAAAGTATAAAAATGACAAAAAAATTACAAGCGTCATATTAAAAAGTGACTTCGCAGTTGAAATTCATAATTTATCATTTTTGTCAGGGCAAAAACATTTTTTCATCCACTGTATGATGTGTTAAATGGCATCATACATAATCATTATTACAATGTCGAAGGCTAGAAGAAAATATTAAAATTTTTACTATCACAAAACGTATGGTTTCAGAATGTATATCATACGTAAGTTGATAGTTAACATATGATATATATCACTAACAAATCCTTCTTTTAATTACTTTTGTTATTGTTATTTTTTTTTTAACAAAACAAAGATTGTATGTTAGTTATAGTATTTTTTAGAATAATAAGTACGATTCTGTAATTGTAACAAACGTATTGATCGAAAGAAAATTAAAAAAAAAATATTTGGTTAAAAGCTATTTACTTATTTCCGTATGATAATTTATCGTGTTTGCCATTAACTTATTAAAGAATGTTATACCTGACGAAACAAAAATGTATTCCAATATTTTAGATGTTTCTGCACGAGTATTAGAAAAAAAATGTAAGGTCATTGAATCCAAGGTTGAATAATTATCTCGGAAGAGTTGTAATTTCTGTCCTTCTTTACCCCTTCCTCTTTACTGAAAGTATCGTGATATCCAATTACTTAGTTAAACCTGAATATGCACTTGTTTACTCATGACTTTATACATAAACCCTATAACTTGCTTATCATAGTGCACTTCTGCATTTTCACTTAGAATTATATTTTAGTTTCGTGTCTTGGTCCCCTTCCTTGAATATCTTACTTACTTTGAAGCGATAAACAATTTACAATCGTTTTCCTGAAATTTTCATGAAACTAATTTTTAGCAAAACACAATTCCATTAATATCTTATATGTGTTCGAACTTTAATGTAAGATTTAAAACTATATTAAAAAAGATTTTGTTAGATTGTCAATAATGAATCGGTGGAGTGGCAAAGTGGCCGTTGTCACGGGAGCATCTTCTGGTATTGGATTAGAAACTGCCAAATTTTTGGTACAGAGTGGTGTAACTGTGATTGGATTAGCAAGAAGAAGAATTTTAATGGAGGTTAGCTAGTTCTTTCTACGTTTTTTTTTTCTATAAATTGTTGTTCTTAGTAAAATTATTCATACGGATATGATTGTTGTGATAGGAAATAACTTAATAAATTGAATTACTTGCAGAATATCGTATAAAAATCATGTCAAGAAGACTGAAAAAATTTTTTTTGAAAGAAAACAGTAACACAGTTGCATGTTTAAAGTATGTTGCTATAAAGTGAAGTAAAATAAAAATTTTAAATTATTAAAAAACTCTTACAAAACTCAATAAGTTAGTATATTTGTTATGAGTAATTAAAACACTTTAATCATTAAAAGGACTACTGCTATAAATTTGAGAAGCAACTTTATCAGTAAGCCACTAAGCTTGCATTCAATACTTATTCATGTTTTCTTAATAGAATTTTTATAACATTGATGCAAAATCCTCACATATCTTATTTACGTTTTTAGTAAATTTTTGTACAAAAAATTTTTTCTGACAATATCAAAAATTTTGTTGTACTCTTTTTGACTGCTGACTTACTGTTTTTCATTTCTGTAAAAAAACACCCACCGAGTAAGATAATTAATATTTCTATGTGTTAAAGAAGGCACGTAAGAGTAAAGTTTCTTAACAGTATACCATGTACATTTAGTATCCTAAACAGTTAGTTTTGACAGATAACTTCTTCGGAAGGCCAAACATAAAAAGCTCTTCCCTGACTAACAACAAAATAAATAGTCTTTTAACTGTAACATGGTTTACATTTTTTACTATAATGTAATAAATATTGCTATGGCAGTAGATTGAAATAGTAGTTTAATAACTTTAATGAAAATCTAATTGTCAAAATGTTTTTTCCTATCATAAATGTACATAGCTCCTTGTGTATTTATAACTTTAAAAAATTTAATAAAAATCAAAGCATTTGTTGTTAACAAATACTTAAGTAAAAGAATTCACTCAGAATATTGTATTTTTCGTCATGATAACATTAAAGCATTATGTAAATACCAGCACTTTTTTAAGATAACGTAGAATGGGCAAGAAAATTTTATAAGCCCCAAGAATCTGTCAGAATTAAGAAATATGAATCAAAGTTTATTTCGTGTAAGAACATAATCTTTCTGATATATGCAAATCACAAATATGATTTAAAAAAAAATACTTTTAATTAAATAGCAATTTTACTTGTAAATTTTTATTTAAAAGTGTTGCTAATTAATTATTTCTGGAAAAAATATTATGCATTTTTTATTGAAAAGGAAGAACAGTCAGTTAACAGCAGTCTTAAACATTTCCAAATAAGTTCCGAAGCCAGAAAGAATGCATGAAACTTAATTGTTTTCAGTAACTAATTGAAGAAGTGCTCTCATTATACCATTTTAATGCATTTCGATAAAACAATCTCATTATAAAATGCACTGTAATAAAAAATTCTCTTAAATTTTTAGAAATTTAATTGCATGGTTGAAAATATGTTGTAATGATTTAGTTATGTGACGTAAAAATTAAAAATAAGTTAGATAACGTATAAAATTTATCAAATTTATTTTTTCTCTTCCTTAATAACACTGGCAACCTGAATGGCTTTGGTTACTCTCTATGAAATACTTTTTAGAACATTTGCTGTCGTTTGTGTTAAATTACTGCAATATCTTTTTGCAACACTAATGCGTTTTAAATAATATTAACAACGACGTATCTCCCGTCAGTTTATCTGCTTACTACTTATCAATTTTTGAGATATTCATTTTATTTATGTTGTACTCGATATCTTTTCATATAATACACTGTTAATAGCGTTTGAGGAGGCCTTTTAGATAATTGAAAGTCAAGCTACTTATCATAGTCAGGTAATAATTACAAATACAATTAGGCTGGATAAAAACACAGATAAAATTTTAGGGTAAGTTTTTAGATAAAAACAAAAAAGAAATGAAATTGAAAATTGGACTTTTAATACAGGTCTTTCAAAGCTTTTCAAATTATTCACTGAAAGTTGCTGATTTTTTCAGCCCACAGTCGAGCCATATAATACAAAGACTGAGCTGAGTTTGTTAAAGTAATACTTTTTCAAACCTTATTACCAAAATATAAATTTTCTGACCAAAATCGAAGGATATTTGTCACTGAAAGTAGATAGATACTAGTGGATTTGTATAGGTTAGCTCATCGTTTGGTCTGCTGTCTTACAAGCCGGCCAATATTACAGTGGTCTGGTATCATAAATGTGTTTTTATATTGTATAAATTATTCCCACTACACAATGCAAAATTGGATAAATATCCTTTGCTTGGACATAGGAATCCTCAAAAAAATTTGGAGAACGTGTCCACATTCCCAGCTTAGACCAATATCACCGACACTCAAACTCTTATTGAGAGTCTCAATCGAAGAGCCTCTTGAATAAAAAAATCAAAATACCGTAAGAGTATTAAAAAACACGTTAAAATTGTGTCAATGTTCAATCTGATAACATAAAAGTTAAACTCAAGGCACAGGACAAAATCTTGAACATTATTAAGGGACCGTGTGTTAAATACCATTCATCGTTAAGTGTATGATATTAAGGTTGTGCACTATACGTTGTAATAAAATATCGCAGCCTATTCTCCTCCGTTTGTTGACGTCTTACGGATACTATACCAAGAATAGAAGATACGGTCGAAAAAAACCGTAATTAAAATTAAATCTTATAGTATCACGCAAGTGAATAAATTCGGAAGCTAAACAGTGAGCTAGTACACGGTAAGCTAAAAAAACACGGTTAATACTGACAGAATTTTACCTTATTAAAAGGGGGGTGGCTGGGCACTGGGGGAGGCTTTTTTTAATCTATCAGGGAGCTATGGGAGGTGGGTGGAGGCTAATCGAAAATTTAACTGAACAAAAATAACGCGAAAACTGATAGAATGATACCTTACTCAGATCTTCAGGTACGGAGGAGTTGAGGGAGGGTTGAGCAGAATAATCCTTCAAAATCACTACATAATATTTAAAGATACACACAGTGGTTCAGGGGATCGTATGGTGAATAGCCGCCATTTATAGCGTACGTCAGTGGTGGTCAATTTAAAATTAGATATTTAGTCATTTTAATGATTTCCTAATTTTTTCTATGATGTTTACAATTAAGTTTTGTTATGCATAGGAAATAAATTTAAATTTTAATATTATATAAATTAAGCAATGGTATAAAAAAAACTTTATGGATTAAAGCTGAATTAATATGTAAATAACATTCCACATCAACACCTTACAGGGCCATTCTACAATTGCGCTTTCCCTGCACTGTGCAAGTACGCAGGGGCACACAGTGCGGCCAAAAGTCTAAAAAAATAAGTTTCTATTTAGGGTTTTGTCACCCTTGAGTTGGCTGCAATGATCCTCCAAAAAACTAAAATCGTTTATAGTGATGACTAATTCGTCATGCCCTTTCCTTAGGTTCAGTTGGAATGTGGCCTTCGCTCGAGCGTCACTCTACAGTTCATACACTGAGAACGGTTGTACAGGTGAAAAATTTTATGTAATAAAGAAAATCAAATAAGACCAAATGGAATCCACTTCTGAAGGTGAGTAGAACATGTAAAAAAAGTACTAATTATCAATTGTTAAGTAGTGAATTAGGGAAAACATAAACAATAGTGTCATTTTTTCACATAATTTTTACGAAAATTAGACTTTTCAAATGATACTGCATTAAAACGCTGCAAAACGCTGCTTTGAAACCTTATTGAAATGATAATTAAATATATTATCTACCAAATAAAATAAGATTCAGCTGCCAAGAGCTGCCTATTCATCTTTTATGCCCTTTTTTCGAAATCAAATTGATAGAGAGCGAGAGAGTGAGAGAGAGAAACGAAATATACACATGGTGCGTTTCTCTTTAATCTGAGGCTGCTACCTATAGTTTACTGTGATGGAAAATGGGAGAGTATGTGCGTGTACATGAGTATGTATTTGTGAGTGAGTATTTATTCGTGTGTATGGGTGCGAGCGGCGCGCACGCAGCAGGCATCTCAAACGTCAAACCAAAGCCTATTCAAAAGTGTACTATATAGATATACGAGATATATCAGACGATGAGAAAAAGGAGATGTATGATCTAGTATTAAAGATAAAAGCAAGATGGAGTGCAAGCAATAGAACTGAAAGTGTCTTTTTAAAAAGAAATAATGATTGGCTGTAAAAAAAGGTTGAATTAAAGAAAAACAAACAAACTAAAAAAAAAGATGAAAAAGAAAAACCAATTGTATCCGGTAGTCCAACACGCAGTTTTTCTGAGTCATCTGACAGAACTAAACGTAGGAAAACTGAGAAATTAAGAAAATCTGTGTCCACTGAAGTGCTACTACATTCTACAACTAGCAAATTGCGATCGGAAGGTAAAACAGATTTTGTCAAAGTCATTCGTGACATTGCAGAAGGAAGTCCTACGAAGGCTTTAAAATACAGAAGATCTATTGAATCGTCAGATACAAATTTACCTTTTTCAAATAAAGCATTGTCTTTATTCGTTGAAATTGGATTATCGCAGGGTCAATATCAAAAGTTGCGCAATGCACATTTACAAAAAAAATCCAAGATGCTCCCTTCGTATAAACAAATTCAAAAAGCCAAAGTTCAGTGTTACCCTACATCAGGTCTATCTTTTACAGACAGTGTAGCTGAAGTGAAATTACAACCTCTTTTGGATCACACGATTGATCGTATTAAACTCTGTCAAACGGAAGTTCTTAAATCTTTATAGGAAGAACAACTTTAAAATTTAACTTTAATTGTAAAGTGGGGTTGCGATGGCAGTTCGGGACATAGTGAATACAAGCATAAGCTTGATGAAAACAGTGCCAGTGACGAGAGCATTTTTTTTACGTCTTGCATCCCTTTGCAACTTGTGTGTAAAAACACTACAAATATGACAACCACTGTTGTCTGGAAGAATCTAAGGCCATCATCTCCCAGAAATTGTCGGCCTATTAAGATAGAATGTGCAAAGGAAACAGTAAATCTGATAAAAG